CAGTATTTACCGTCATCTTGTAGCCGTGATTGCCAAATAGTTGCAGTACAATGCATTTAACATGACAATATTTATTATAATTAATGACAATATTTTTCATACTTGACAGTAATAACTCCTATTTCGGAAGAAAAACATACTAGTCCTATTTTTGGAATTCCAAATGTCATTTGCTCCTATTTTGGGTAATTTCCCTATTGTAAAAGACGTTAATAAAACGCTTATCAATCGCTTAGAAGCAAACCAACTCGCTAACTCCACAATGTGCTAGACCCTACCAACAACATTGTTGCACCTGCTACTAGACTGAGAAAACAAAATAACTAGAGAGCTCTGAGAAAATTGACAATAAAAAGAAAAAGTAGTCCCAATTTTTCCAGTTGATGTGAAGGAAATCGCGGTTTGACTAGACTCCACCAAAGGTACTGGGAGAAGCTCCTCTCTTACCCACCCGCCCCTGCAACACGTAGATCCTCTATCACTTGTTTAAGCGGTGCTTTCCAAACAACACCCCCGCTTATAAGTTTTTTGGTGACCTTCATAGGGGACGGAGGGAGTATACCATAAATCTCACCTTATGGTCACATAATGTTTTGCAAAGATAAGAAAATAACTTGGAATAACAGGTCATCAACCGGTCAGAAACCATTGAATGAAGATGGGGTGCAAAGGTTGGATTATTCCTGAATAATCAAAAGGTGGGACTATTGTAGGAAGACCGCTAAAAGATTAGATTATTAGTTTCCATTTTCCCTATATTTAATCAACCGACCAATTAGCGTTGTTCGTCTGATCATTTTTAATTACACGATTTGACTAGTTACAATTATCTAATCCGACCAATTACAGTTACTCAATCCGATCAGTTACAATTACTCGTCTGATCAATTACATTTACCCAATTTGATCAGTACATTTACGCGATTCAACCCGTTATGGTTACCCGATTCGACCAATTATAATTACCCGATCCGATTAATTACAGTTACTCATCCCAATTAATTACCGTTACCCATTCCGACCAATTACAGTAAGTCGATCCACCCAGTTGCAGTTATCCGGTCTTGTAGAGGCCATCCACTGCCGCTGTGACCGCCGTTAAGCACCACCTCCGATGACCCGCCGCCCTCCACCGCTGACTGCCGTTGCCGACCAAGATCTCCGACCACCACTGCCCGTGACCAACGTCCCGACTCCATATCCCCCACCCCAGCCCCTCCACAGCCCGTCACTACCCCGATCTATCCACCTGCCACTCCTCCACTGCCCGACGAAGAATCACCCGCCGATTAGCGGAAGCAATATATGGAATTACATATATTGCCTTGCTTGTATTGCTCTTCCAAGCCCTTCTCTTCACTCTATTAGATGGTGTGTATATTGATAGTGAGGAGCAGACTCAGGGGTTGCAAAACAAGAGCTAACCGCTGCTATTTATTGAGTTCTGCCCATCGAAGAACTCCCAACGTGCAGCGCCAAAATGGAGGAGAAGTTACTGATCTTCTCTCATTTAGTTGGGAAATAATGGGTAATCCTTATCTAATAAATGGATCACTTCAGATTAGTTTTTCCCCTTTAAATAAATGTACCTTATTTTCTGAATAATTAATATTAAAATATTAATTAAATAAAATGTAACTTACGGGAAAAAACTAACATTCTCCCACTTGGTCCATTTAACCCATTATCAAACCTTATGAGAGATAAAACATATGAATCATGGAGACAAGTCCTTTGCTATAAAGTATTATAATAATGTATTACAATATATTAAATCTCCTAAACATATGCTCTTGACTTAATGAATAAACCACATGTTTATTACAAACCCAAATAAAATGGTATTTCTCAAAACAATCATTAATGTGCACATTAAGTTTGAGAATGCACCAAACTGAATAAGAGTTTGATAATAAATAAACTTATGAAAATTAAATCGTGGTGCCAAGTCCCATGTGAACTACAAGATCCTGAAATTTCTTTGGTGGCATGCCTTTAGTTAAAGGATCAGCTATCATCAACTCAGTGCTAATGTGTTCAATGACCACCTTCTAGTCTTTGACACGTTCCCTTATGGATAAATATTTAGTGTCGATGTGCTTGCTTCGACTTCCATTCTTATTGTTATTAGCCATGAAAACAGCAGCTGAGTTATCACAATATATCTTTAATGGCCTAGAAATAGAGTCCATAACTCTAAGCCCAGATATGAAACTCTTCAACCACACACCATGCGATGTAGCCTCAAAACAAGAAACAAACTCAGCTTCCATAGTAGAAGTAGCTATTGAAGTTTGCTTTGCACTTCTCCAAGATACAGCTCCACCAGCTAGCAAAAATATATAACCAGAAGTTGATTTTCGGGTATCAATGTAGCCAGCGTAGTCTGAATCGGAGTAGCCCACTACTTCCAGCTTGTCACTTCATTTGTACATGAGCATGAAATCCTTTGTTCCTTGGAGATATCTCATCACTTTCTTTGCAGCTCTCCAATGCTCAACCCCTGGATTAATCTGATATCTTCCCAAAACCCCAACAGCATACGCAATGTCGGGTCTAGTGCTGATTTGAGCATACATAGGTTTCCTACGGCTGAAGCATATGGGACATTTTTCATTTGTTCCCGCTCAAAATCATTCTTGGGGCACTGACTTAAATCCAGCTTATCTCCCTTTACAATGGGAGCTACGCTAGGTGAACATTGTTTCATGTTAAATCTCTCTAAAACTTTGTGTATGATATTGGACTCTTGAGACAAGCCTAAAATGCATCTAGATCTTTCTCTATGGATCTTTATGCCATTGACAAAAGATGCCTCTCCCGTATCCTTCATATCAAAGTTTTTCGAGAGAAAACTCTTCACCTCATGCATCATACCAACATCATTAGTTGCAAGCAAAATATCATCCACGTATAACACAAGAAAACAGATTTTGCTCCCACTAGTCTTGAGGTATATACATTGATCCATGATATTTTCCTTAAAACCAAATGAAGTAATAACCTCATTGAACTTAAAATACCACTTACGGGAGGCCTGTTTTAAATCGTATAAGGATTTATTTAGCTTGCAAACTAAGTGCTCACCTTCACTAGAGGAGAATCCTTCTGGTTGTTTCATATAAACCTCTTCCTCTAGATCACCATTGAGGAAAGCCATTTTCACATCCATTTGATGTAGCTCAAGGTCAAAATGAGCCACTAATGCCATGATGATCCTAAGAGAATCCTTTTTAGATACAGGAGAAAAGGTTTCTTTATAATCAATTCCCTCTCTTTGAGTGAACCCCTTGGCTACAAGTCTCGCTTTATATCTCTCAATGTTGCCTTGTGAGTCTTTCTTGGTTTTAAACACCCACTTACACACGATGGCTTTTACACCACTTGGCAACTCAACGAGATCCCATACTTTATTGAATGCCATAGAATTCAACTCATCTTTCATAGCATCAATCCATAAGTTTGATTCCTTAGAACTCATGGCTTGTGAAAACGTCTCAGGATCATTTTCAGCTCCTACGTCACAGTCTGATTCTTGTAGATACACTACATAATCACTAGGTATTGCTGGTCTTTTGACTCTATTAGATCTTCTTAATGTTGCCTCATCATCTGGTTCAACAACGGGCTGTTCAACCTGTTGTTCACCAGATTGTTCACCATTGTTTTGTTGGCCTTCAACAATGGTATGATCTATTAAGTCATTTCCAGCTTCATGTGGATTCTCATTTATTGATTGTCCAACACGCATCTGTACTTGAGGAGCGTGTACAACAATCAATTTGTTACTTAGTTCGCATGGTTGATTCTCAATGTGATCCCTTTCAGAAAAAATATTCTGAAATTCTTCACTCCCACTAATTAAGTCATTTTCAAGAAACTTTGCGTTTCTTGACTCCACAATTCTAGTGCTATGTGATGGACAATAAAATCTATACCCCTTGGATTTTTCTGCATATCCAACGAAATAACCACTAAGAGTTCTAGGGTCTAGCTTCCTTTCTTGAGGGTTATAGATTCTTACTTCACATGGGCAGCCCCAAATGCGTATATGGTTCAAACTCGGTCTCCATCCTTTAAATAACTCAAAAGGAGTCTTAGAGACGGCCTTAGATGGAACTCGGTTTAATATATACACGGCTGTTTTTAGTGCTTCAACCCACAAAAATTGAGGAGGTTTTATATTACTCCTCATGCTTCTCACCATGTCCATTAAAGTTCAATTCCTTCTTTCGGCTACACCATTCTGGTCCGGAGAACCAGGCATAGTGTATTGGGCAACAATCCCATTTTCTTGAAGAAATTTCGCAAATGGACCAGGTGCTTGTCCATTCTCTGTATATCTACCGTAGTACTCTCCACCCCTATCCGATCTCACGATCTTAATTTGTTTATTACATTGCTTCTCTACTTCAGCCTTAAAAATTTTAAAGGCATCTAACGCCTCATCTTTAGAGCGAAGTAAGTAGAGATACATGTATCGTGAATAATCGTCTATGAAGGTGATAAAGTATCTCGGACTATTTGCATCCATATCTGGACAACAAATATTTGTATGTATGATTTCTAATAGGTTAGAACTCCTCTTGGCATCTTTCTTGTACTTGTTGGTTTGTTTACCCTTAATACAACCCACACAAGTATCAAAATCAGCAAAGTCTAGAGTACTAAGTACTCCTTCATCCACTAAACGCTTAATCCTCTTAATGGAGATATGCCCTAGTCTCCGATGCCACAACATAGAGAACTTCTCATTCACAACACACCGTTTGGAACCAGTTGTTACATGCATTGAATCATAAGCAACGTCATTTTTCACATCAATTGAATAAAGACCATCAACTAAAGAACCAAAACCAATGGTTTTTTATTTATTTATTAAAGTAAAACCAGAACTTGAGAAATTGAAACTAAATCCTAAAGGAGCTAGTCTCGAAACAGAAATTAAATTCTTTGAAAAACTAGGAACATAAAAGGTCTTTTCCAATTGTAAAATAAAACCGCTGCTTAAAACTAAATTGCATGTCCCAATGACTTCAACGTGTGAACTTATTCTTCCTCCTAAATAGATGCATTGTTCACTTGCCACTGGTTTCCTTAGGTGTTCCATACCCTGCAAGGTATTAGAAACATGGATTGTAGAACCGGAATCAATCCACCATGTGTTGTGATTAATATTGACCATATTATATTCATAACACACAAAGGCTAATGGAGTACCTTTCTTTTCGAGCCAGCTCTTGAATTTTGAGCATTCTTTCTTCATGTATCCCTTTTTCTTGAAAAAGAAACACTTTGACTCTTTCTTAATGACTGCCTTTGGAGGGATGTTGCCTTTAGTTTTGGCGTGATCCTTCTTTTTCTTCTCATGGACAGTCAAGTTCACCCGTTCACCCTCTTCCATTATCAGCCTCTCCTCCTCCTGAACACACATGGTCAGTAACTCATTAATTGACCATTTTCCCTATGTGTGTTGTAGGTAGGGGTGGACTCGGGTCCGGGCCGGGTCCGGGTCGGGCCTAGGCCCGGGCAGGCCGGCGGTTCAAGAATGGTGGACCCGGGACCGGCCCGGGTAGCCACCAGGTCCGGTCCGGGTTCGGGCCGGGCCGGGCCTCTGGTTTGGATTTTTTTTTTACTTTCCTAACCCCCTCCCCTCACCCTCCACCCTCCCAAACCCCCCCAAACCCATCCTACCCATCAAGCCCAACCCGGGTGGAACTGATACGTTCGTAATTTCCATATCTATGTTTATGTTTTTAATTAGTTTTGCTTGACTTTTACTTTGGAAATTACAAACTTTTGGTGTAATAGATTAGATTGTTAAATTCTTGTAAATAGGTTAGATTAGATATATTCTGAGTTTAAGCAGGTTTTGATCACTCAAAGTACAGTTGGTGAACCCAAAAAGTGAAGAGAAGGTGCAAAAGTTCAAAGACAAAAGAAGATCCTGAATTTTGGTCTATACTCGGTCGAGTATTAGCTATACTCGATCGGGTATTAGGTTGGAACTTCAAATCGGATCAGATCCGAAGACAAGGGAACATGCAGGGAAGATTTCAACCACGATTTTGTGTCTATACCCGATCGGGTAGACCGACATACCCGATCGGGGATGCCTTTGAATTTCAAAAGAATTTCGGTCGAGTATGGTTCGAATACCATTTTCTAAGCATACTCGACCGGGTATGCATATATACTCGATCGGGTATACTCTTAGAAAATACCCTGAAACCGGTCGAGTATACCTCGGATCGGGTGTTACACACATACTCGATCGGGTACCATGTATATACCCGATCGAGTACCCGAATCCCATCCCAAAAGCCTATAAATACACCTCCTTTCCTTCACAAAAAGAGATCCAATCCCTTGTACATCTAAGCTCAGTATAGAATAGCTCTTTCTTTATATTTTTCATCATGTTTAGTCTCCAAATGAGGAGCTAAACTCTTCCATCTTGGTTTTGCTACTTTGAAGCTTAATGAATTTGTAAGTTGTGAGTTATTTTCTTTAATCTTCTTCCTTGAATATTAATTCTTTCTTTCAAAATAGAATCTCTATATTAAAGTTGGGGAGTGTTACTAAGATGACAATTAGTTAACATCTTGACATTGGTTATAGTAATAGCTATTTCTTCCTCTATGATAATATTGGGGAGTGTTACTAAGATGACAATTAGTTAACATCTTGATATTAATCATAGTAGGATTCATATATTTTAATATTCTTCCTTGAGTATTAATTAATTCCTATTCATATTTTGATGGAGTATATGGCCCGGGAACCCCCGGCCCACAGACTCCTACTACTCCAGCGAAGGCCCAGCAGGCCCAACAGGCCCAAATCACAGCGCCCAGAGTACCAAGCAGCCCGCACTACGCGCCAGGGGCGCCTTCGGCCCCCTGGCCGAAGGCTCTAAATTCTCACAGAGCGGGTTTCTCAAGCAAACTAAGAAACTGGGAGAAAACGGCGAAAACAGTAGCCCTCGGCACTGTGAGCCCTCGGCACCAGGGTGCCATCGGGTGGAAGAGCCCTCGGCTACTGCTCTATATCCGAAGGCATCTCACTCGACAAGATATCCGCCTCACATGCGTACAGATCACCGTACCCCGCACAGACGTCCCATCCAACAGCCGCATTAAATGCAGCCACATGCGGCTGCCAGCGCCAACCAGTTGAGGTGACCCCTCGGCCAATGAGCGCTTGACACGTGTCCCTGCCCGGCATTTATTGCTACTATAAATAGCACCCCTTTTCCCCATTTGTAACCAAGTGATAACACACTGAATACACTCTCTCTCTACTTTTATTTACTTGCTCTGACTTCTCTCTAAGTTATTCCCCGTAATAACCCTTCGGATATATACCCCCGGGTAGACTATCCATCATATTTCATGTTAATATCTTAAACATTACTTAAAGTATCAACTAGTATTGTTTCTCATATTAATTATTACTAGAATCAATCGGTTAATACGCTTGTTATTAATCCAGTTCTTTCAACGGTAGTAAACTTGGAATATTAATGCATGCATCTCATGGTTAATATGCCAAGGGGAATTAATTATATTGATTAAACCAATAAACCGCTTGTGTTGAGGTTATCAATCTCAATCGTTTTCATCTTAAGTTTATTGCTACTATCAAGTTAATATACGGCGCTTGTTCTATATTGACTCGATAGTAAGTTTTATTAATGAACGCATCTCGTTATTAATAACTACCCTCGATGAACTGGATATACTCCTCGATTGAGTATTCGAGAGGAAGATAGTTAAAGATATAACCGGGATCGACAAACATTTCATTAAGTGGATAAAAGCAAAACCAAGTCCTCATCTCATCGAATTAAACTCATATAGGTTGTTTATCTTAGTGTTTTTAAAACAAACAAATCTAAACCCCCCTCTGTTACTACTTTTATAAAAGAAAAGTATTCCTTTCCCTGTGGATACGAACCTTACTACACTATACTACGTATTAGTGTTGTATTGATTATTTATTTTGAGTGCACCTAACGACGAGTGCACGTCAGGAACCCCAAAAATGAAAAAAAAAAATCAATTTGGCCCGGGCCGGTTCACCAAAATTCAGACCCGAGCCCGGACCCGCCCTACCCCCCGGGCCTAGGCCCGACCCGGACCCGAGAACCGGGCCGGGTGGCCCGACCCGAGTCCAAGCCTAGTTGTAGGAAATCTTAAAAGGAGCGTATTGATGTGGAAGAGTGTAAAGAATGTAGTGAACTAGAAAAGCATCTGACATGGTTACCTCCAAAGCTTTCAGCTGAGCAGTTATGTCCCTCATGCGCATGATGTGCTCACGCACGCCTCTTATCCCAGTGAGCTTCATGGATGCGAACTGTATGATTAAGGTGCTGGCAAGGGCCTTATCAGATGTAGCAAATTGCTCATCAATAGCCTTGAAAAGGTCCTTGACTTTAGTATGCTGGTCGACGAAACCACGGATACCAGCAGTTATTTTGTCTTATATACACACACACACATATATATATATATATATATATATATATATATATATATATATATATATAGGGGAGGGTTCAAATACAAAGAGGTCTTCCCATGCAAAGTGAGAATTAATCTCGTGCATTCATTTCCAGATCTAATGGCTCAAAATGAGCCAAAAGTGAACTAAATTTGATCAAAAACGCGGTGGCAATTTCGTAATTAAAACGAAGTTTTTTGCCATCGTGAAAAAGTGCAACAGAAACACGCAAAAGTGCAACGCGGTAAGGAAAAAGTGCAACCGTTCGCACTTTGCACGGGAGAACCTCTTTTTATTAGATCTCTTCCCTATATATATATATATATATATATATATATATATATATATATATATATATATATATATATATATATGTCCCTCCGTTCTTGTTTAGTTGAAACGGTCAACATTTCACATTTACCAACACACATCTTTGATCGTAATTATATCTTAATTCTATTAGTAAAAAAATATTAAAAATCAGAATTTCAAAATTTATTGTGAGATGAATTGAACAATACTTTTTTTAAAAAATAATTTTCATAAAATAATAGCGTAAAATGTAATCAAAATAGAGCATGTGAATAGTGTAAAATTCAATATGTTACGATTAAAACGGAACGGATGATAGTATTACTTTTATCATTATTTCTTATTACAATCACTTCACCATGACCACAATTACCATAATTTTTTTCAAAACTTTTAAATCGAACTTACCCTTCAATTATCAAATTTTAGTTGGAAAATAAATGAAATACCAGCACCTATGATATACGATTTATCTCAAAGTGTAACAACCCCAAATTCATATTCTTACATTTATTGAATTATTGCATTTTTTAATGTAAGGAATGTAAAATTTGACCGTTGAATTTCTCTCCCTTTACCTAGGGGTGGAGTGGTGGACCGGTTCCGGTTCGGGCCTGGGCCTGGGCCCGGGCGCCCGGCCGAGCCTCGGTTCATGAAGGGGGAGGCCCGGAACCGGCCCGGGTAACCCCCGGGTCCGGGCCGGGCCTCGATTCTAATTTTTTTTTTTTTGCTTTTCCTAGTTAACCCCCAACCCTCCCCTCACCCCAAACCAACCCTAACCACCTCAAATGGCCCAAAATACCCAGCCCAACCCAAAAACTTAAAAAAAATTCAAAAAATAATAATAAATTGGCCCAGCCCGAGCCCGAACCGGCCGGGCCGGTTCACCTTTTGAAGGGCCTGAGCCCGAACCGCCATCCCACCGGGCCGGGTGGCCCGAACCGGTTCACCGGGCTGGTCCGGGCCCGCACAGTAGCGGATCGGTCCGGTTCCGGGCCAGTTGGCCCAGCCCGAGTCCACTCCTACCTTTACCAAATGTTAAAGTTTACCTACTGTCCCTATATCAAGTATAAGCTCATCGATGAAATCTCACATGTTTAAACTTTAAACTAGCCAGTGGAATTTCACCTGTATGCGGCATTTTGAATAGTGAGCTTTATAACATTTTGTAAAACATCATTTTGTTTGCAATCACGCAATGGTAAATTTAACTATTAGTTCAATTCTTCGTCTTACGTGGATATTTGTTTCTCAATTGATTTTTGTTTTAACATCGATAACTTTCCAATTCACTTCAATTACCCATTTGGCTAGCATAGTAGCATACACACATTTTCGAGTGCTTAAATTGACTATCACATAAGAACTTCCTATGCACGTCTCGTGAGGCGATATTCAAGACTTACTAAGCTCAAAAGTTTGACACTTATCCAAGTGCAGGTTCTAACACTTCTTGGACCAAAGGACTACGAGTTGAAGATCATCTACATCACGACATGGTTCTAGGAGAATGCTGTATTGCTGTTTACAAAACCATAAGCTCACAAGCCACAACAACAACTTGTCAACTAGGGGTGGGCAATAATGCAATATAAACGTACATATCAAGCTCACATTCTCATCAGGGCTTGCAACATAGGGAGTATTGTCAATCATGGTAAATTGGTAAATCATGACAGAGTTGATACTGCTCCTCCTAAATAAAATAAAAATCCAAGGTAGATGCACAGAATTTCACTGCTTTATTGAATCAGGAGTCCGGACCAATGAAAAACTAACCACTGGGGATGATTCAGAAGGAAAAAAATTACAATACAAGTTGGCAATGCACAGATTAATTGAAAAAAGAAATTACCAGACAGAGGGAGAGGGAGAGAGAATATGGTGTTTGACATGTAGCTCACAAGGGTCCTTAAAAAACTCACAAGGGGGATCACTGGTGCTTCACGGCAGTAACATGCCTTAGAAGCATGTGGACAACATCATGAGAAATTCTTGCAGCTTGTGTTGTCAAGTGATGAATCTTGGCCTCAGTCTCTACCTCTAGACGCTTAACATTTGCACCCGAGTCCCCACTACTCTGTTTCACAAAATAAAAGCATGTGTTACACACCATATTTGAGACAGTAGGCAAGTAAAGCGTAAGTTATACAGTATTTATTTGTGAACAGTGGATATGGTTCACCCCCGAACATAACATTGGCTCTTTCTGTTAGCCATAAAACTGACATTGAGCAATGATTGAGCAAATACCTAACTTTGGATTTTTTTAACATTATCCGATGATTAACAACAAAAACAATTTTATGCAGCCTTAGTGTATATGGATTTCATAATAATCATAATAATTATTGTTATTGTTGTTGTTATTGTTATTATTCTTATTACTATTATTACTATTATTATTAATATTATTATGCATTAATACCTGTTCGAGCTTTTTCTGAAATTCAGATTCCATATGAGCACGGAACTCCGATATCTCCTTCTGAGCTTCTTCTTTAGCTTGTTTCAATCTAGCCTGTTTTGCTGCAATTGTAAACAAGAAAGTTTAGCCATCTTTTCCTAATCGTGTGTTGAGTATCCCACATGCTAAAAAAAACTGACATCTCCCAGTTCAGGAGCATGTTTGTATAACTGGTACTATAACTCATATACTCCATAATACAAAGACACAAAAGAATTTAGTTGCCTTTTAGATGAGGATCTTTTTTAGATGAGTTAGACTTAACTTGGTATAAAAAATCAGGTACACTACTGCAAGCCCATTCGGGGTAGGTTTGGACCGATTTGTCCAACACTTTAGTAGTTGAGTACTAATAGATTTTAGAGTAGGAATAGATTGAGACTGAAAAGCTTGATTCATTCCAGAATATGATCTCCTATTTATACAACCTTTTAGAGACTAATAAGGTAGGCTACTAATAATAATATTAAATACAAAGATATGTAACTGATTTATAATACTACCTCCGTCCCTTAAAACTTTGCCAAGTTTGACCGGCACGGGGATTAATAAAGTAAAAACTGTGTGATTGAGGTTTGTGCAGAGGAGAGAAAATTAACTGGAACCACAAATTCTTTACTTAAAAGGGAAAGTGGCAAAGTTAGTGGGACATCAAAAAAAGGAAAGTTGGCAAAGTTTTAAGGGACGGAGGGAGTATGAAATACAAATATTGTGTAACTTATGTAACGGTTCTCTGGAGCTGTCTAGACTCTTCTATATGTCCCGCAAGCCATGTATTCTATCAGTGCTGAGAATCCTGAGCTTGTCACGTAGAAAAACAAACCATTGCCGTGAAAGGAGTTTGGTGAGAATGTCAGCTAATTGATCATGTGAGGGGATATGAAGGACTCGAAGAAGACCACGTTGCACACGTTGACGGACAAAATGGAAATCAATGGCAACATGCTTCATGCGGGAATGAAATACAGGATTGGCGGAAGAAGTGGTAGCACCTTTGTTATCACATAGAAGAACCGGAGGGGAAGTAGGTGAATGTCGGAGCTCATGAAGAAGTGACTCAATCTAGAGTGTTTCGGATGCAGCGGTGGAAAGAGCCCGATACTCTGCTTCGGTAGAGGATTTGGCAAGTGTTCGTTGCTTAGATGATTTCCAGGAAATAAGTGACTCTCCGAGAAAAATAACATAGGCACTGGTAGAGGAGCGGTCATCAAGATTGTCTGCCCAATCTGCATCAGGATAAGCACATAAGGAGAGGGAAGAACTCCGGCGAAAATATAAACCATGAGAGGCAGTTCCTTGAAGATAACGCAAGAGGCGTTTCATGAGTTGCCAATGATTCACCGTGGGTTTGTGCATAAACTGAGCTAGCTTGTTGATGGCAAAGGCAGTGTCAGGGTTGGTGAGATTTAAATACTGAAGGGAGTCAATGACCTGCCGATAGAGAGTTGCATCACAAGAACCCGAACTATCAAACAGAGTCAAGGAAATTGAAGATGCTAGAGGTGTGGATAATGGATTCGCCTCATGCATATTCAGCACTTGTAATAAATTTGTAATGTACTTGTGTTGATCAAGAAAAAGACCATCTTGTGTAGGGGTGACCTGGATGCCCAAGAAATAATGTAAGGATCCTAAATCCTTAATGGAGAATTTCCGTGCCAATAAGTCAATAGTCCGATGAATTAAAGCTGGTGTAGAGCCAGTGACAATAATATCATCCACATATACTAACACATAGATATAAGAGGGATAAGAAGAAAATATGAAGAGACTGGCATCTGAAACGGATTGATGAAAACCAAGGGATAAAAGAAATCCACTGAGAGACTGGTACCACACTCGAGGAGCTTGTTTAAGCCCGTAGATGAATTTCTTAAGGCGACATACTCTCCCAGAGCCATCATCATTGAAACCAGGAGGTTGTTTCATGTAAACTTCCTCTTGGAGAGCTCCATGTAGAAATGCATTATTGACATCGAGCTGATTGACCTGCCAGCCATGAGAGAGAGCAATGGTTAGAACATCCCGAATAGTAACTGGTTTGATAATTGGGCTAAAGGTCTCAGAGTAATAAATCACCGGGCGTTGATGAAAGCCCTTAGCCACCACTCGAGCTTTGAAGCGGTCCAAGGATCCATCGGGCTTATATTTCACAGTATAGACCCATTTGCAACCAACAACGTTTTGACCAGGATGAGCAGGTACAAGCTCCCAAGTTCCTTGTTGAACCAAAGCGTCAAATTCCACAGAAATAGCCTCTCTCCATTCAAGTACCTGTAAAGCTTGAGAAGCACAAGTAGGAATAATATGATGAGGTAATGATGAGTGGGTAACAACATTAGCTTGCTTACAGGGACGAAGGGTCATTGGGTGGGTACGTTGGGGAGGGGAGGGGTGTGGATCACGATGGTGATCCAAGGTTGATCCAGAACTATTGGGAGTGGGAATAACGGTTGAGGTGGTGGTGTTGGGTGTAATTGGCAAGGATGGGGTAGTTGGTTTTTGTTTAGGCCGGCGTTGGTAAGTGACAAAAACCGGTGGGTGAGAGGCGGGTGGATTGGTAGGAGGTGAAAATGAGGTGGAGTTAGACATATTAGGGGAGTCTTGTTGTGGTGAGGTATGAGTAACAGGAGACGCCTTTGCTAGTGATGTACCAGAAATAGAGAGATATGAAATAGTTAGCTGAAGCCAATTATCAATTTCAGAGGACAAATTTGCAACAGTTGTTGGACTGTTAGAAAAAGGAAAGACAGACTCATTGAACACCACATGCCAACTAATAAAGATCTTATTAGAAGTAGGATCAAAGCAGCGATAAGCACTTTGCTGGTCACAATAGCCAAGGAAAATACAAGGTCGGGACCGTGGTTCTAACTTATGGGCCATGTAAGGACGAAGCCATGGAAAACATTGTCACCCGAAAATAGCAAGTTTTGTGTAGTTGGGAGGTTTTTGAAAAAGTTTTTCATAAGGAGTACAAAAACCTAGAGAAGCTACCGGTTGTCTATTAATTAAATAAACAGCAGTTAAAAAGGCGTATGACCAATATTTAAGTGGCATAGAAGCATGGTGAAGTAAAGTAATGCCTGTTTCTACAATATGCCTATGTCGGCGTTCAGCAAAGCCGTTATGTTCACGGGTATATGGAGGAGTAAGTAAGTGAGAAATGCCACATGAGGCCAAGAATTTTCCTAGAGAAATATATTCACCTCCTCCATCGGAGTAAACCGTTATAATGGATTTTTGAAAGAAGTTTTCTACAATTTTTTTAAATTGTTGAAAAATTGAGGTTACCTCCGATTTGTGGGTGAGCGTGTAAAACCAAATGTATTTTGTGTAGTGATCAACAAAAATAACATAGTAACGGAAACCATCTACAGAACTAATACGAGGACCCCAAACATCTGTATAAATTAAGTCAAGAGGAGCAGAACTAGAAAGAGAAGATTTAGCAAAAGGTAACCGGTGACTTTTATTACTCGCACACGAAGTGCAAAGAGATAGATCCTTACTAACATCTTTAAAATTAATACCTAATGAGGAAATAATTTTTTGAATGACGGGAAGGGCAGGATGTCCTAAACGGCAATGCCATTTATTTAGAGAAAATCTTGTAGTAATGTTAACACTTGGAGACGCAGGAACTGGAACATTAGGCAAGTTGTAGACAACACCATTATTCATACCCCGTAACAAAATTGCTCCCGTTTTCCGATCCTTGACAAGACAAAAAGAAGGGTGAAATTCGATTAGTAGTTTAGTACATCATTATCACTACATAATTTAACAACGGAAATTAAGTTGGTATGAACAGAAGGGACAAAAAGAGTATTAGGTAAGGACAGAGAATGAAGGGTCATAATTCCAACTTGTGCAATAGCAAGACTTTTACCGTTATCAATAATTAGGGAGTCTGTGCCGGTGTCATCGGATGCCAAGGTGAGGTTATTTAAATTATTAATACATGATTAGTTGCCTCCGAATCGAGTAACCATCCATTTTTCCTGGTCGTGACAGTATTGGCTTGGGGTGGGTAATTTTGTTGTTCAAACCTGTGCCAACAATTAATAGCCAGATGATTCGGTTTGCCACAGATTTGACATATAATAACCGGACTTGCCCTGATATTAACCCCACAATTTGTACGACCACCCAGTGATTATTGATGCCCCCAGGATGACTGTTTCCATGCCGACTGGAATTGTAAAAATTGTTGGGCCATTGACCTCTATTTTGACTTTTACCAAAATTTGGAGTTTGAGTGTTGGGCCTGTTGGGCAGATTCTGAACTTGAGTTATCGGACCTGGGCCTAAAATAGAAGCACGCTTATCTGGACTCCTGCGCACAACCATTGCTTCGGAAACAACATTATCACTCTTCTCTTCGACGACAGCTGCGTTCGCAATTACGATGGCTGTGGGATTCAAGGCTTCTTTCCTGTGCATCTTATCTTCGAATCCAACTAGCAGCGAGTGCAGATCTTCAAACGTAACCTCATCTGCACGAATGGAATTCTCCATAGCTTCAAACTCGAAACGAAGACCTTCCAGGGCTTGAATGGCAAAATCCTCGTCGTCAACTGGCCGGCCGGCCATGGCGAATTCATCCGCAAGAGTGCGCAGGTGATGAAGGTATTCGCTGACAGGTTGCGATCCTTGTTTCATATGGCGGAATTGATCTTTGAGACTTCAGATTTTGGAGGCTGACCGAGTCCCATATAGACGCTCTAGAGTCTTCCATACGGAGGCAGAGGTCTTGGAAGATCCAATGAGGGGCTTGCAAGTTGAGATGAGAGATGAGACCAGGGCATGCCGTAACAGACGATCCTGTCTGTTCCACCGGAGAAGGTTGTCTGCTTCACTTTTTGGAGGGGGATTGGTGTTTTCATCAATGTACTGATCCAGGTGACAGCAGCTCCAAACAGAAGGTCCATCACTTGGTCTCTCCATACAAGGTAATTGGATCCATCTAATTTTTCTGGGAACTGGCTAGGGTTAAGCATGATAAGGCCTTCGGGGGTTAGGGGGTTGTTGACTGAGAGTGGTGGGTTTGAGTTACCCTGAGAATCTTCTCTATTTTCTTCGGTAGCCATGGCAGAAGGTATATGTGATAAACTGGCCGGTTAGAGCTTTGGAGGCTCTGATACCATAATAGATTTTAGAGTAGGAATAGATTGAGACTGATAAGCTTGATTCATTCCAGAATATGATCTCCTATTTACACAACCTTTTAGAGACTAATAAGGTAGGCTACTAATAATAATATTAAATACAAAGATATGTAACTGATTTATAATATTAAATACAAATATTGTGTAACTTATGTAACGGTTCTTTGGAGCTGTCTAGACTCTTCTATAAGTACTTGAGACTAGCTTGACTTTGAGGGAGAGGGATGTGTCGAGTACTCCACATTGATTGTGTAGTAGGTTTGAGTCTAGTCTAGTAATCCCTTTGTCCCATAAAGAAGTTCTCGTTTCAGTTTAAGATGTTTGTCTGACGATAAAACAAATTGATCCCAGTCAACAGTCTAAATAAAATTTACATATTCGGAAACTACATTAAAAATTCTATAGTCGTAAAAAAAAAATCAAATTTGATAAAAGTTGAATATATAAAATAAAAGATTAAGAGTGATTTAAGTTGACCAACTAAATAGTGAATGGGAACTTCATTGGGACGGAGGTAGTATATAAGAGTGAAGTCTACACCATTGAGGATTTTTATGGCAAGTTAGGCCCAATTTAATATAGTGGGAACTTCATTTTGGGACGGAGGTAGTATGTAAGAGTGTCTACACCATTGAGGATTTTTTGTGGCAAGTTAGGCCAATTTAATATAGTGGTCCAAGTAATGTAGCCTAGTAGTCAGAAAGGAGAAATCTCATAGCCCCAACACTCCTGTTGTTTCTATATGTTCAGAGCAATAAGTTGCAGCAGAGCATATTCTACACCCAAACTTGTATATACAGTAAATCCATACATTAGTTTAAGTACTTCAACCACATAAACATGCACAATGGAAACGTCCTCAACAAAAAACAAAAGTGAAGTTGGATACATGTTTCACTAAATCCACCATTATAAGAGAGAAATTATACAAACTTTTGATTCATCATTTTCATTTCATTTTCATTTACCCCAGTGCCGCAAAGGCTCCCACTTACGGTGGGGTAAGGGGGAGTCGGATGTACGCAGCCTTACCCCTGTACTAAAGCACAGAGAGGACTGTTTCCGGATGACCCTTAGTGAAAATCACGTCCAAAATTGCATGGACTGACTGCTGCTTCATAACAAAGAAGCGCAGACAGTTTAGTGAGTCATTTTGCTTTATTCCATCATAATCTCAAGCCAAAAAATAATGAATCTTTGGCTCCATTACAAACTTTTGATTGTATGAAAGTAAATCTAAACTTAAAGTTTCATGGAAATGGACAATCTAGTGAAAGACTTGAAAAAGACCATCTAATTCAAGTCATAATACATAGGGAAAAGAAGATGCATAAAGCTTTTTTAATATTGAATTGCTCAGAGAAGTTGAATAAACAAATTCATTCATACACTGATGTGTTAACAAAGACAAAGGATCTTACCACTCCTTGCAGCATTGACAATTTGTTGAGCTTCTTGCTCTGCTGCTAAGAGAAGTTGAATTCCACCTTGTCCCCTGCTAGACTCCATCCTGGAAAAAAGGGAAAAAATTACTGCTAGATGCAATGATCGGACCAAATGATATTTAATATAACGACTTGAGATGTTGTTGAGAAGGCTTGAATGATATTTAAAAAACAAAATAACAGTCCAACCCTTTATATATAATGGTTGATTTAGTATTATAATCAGAATCAACACTAAATAATACTCCCTCCGTATTTGAAAGTTCTATACAATAGGATTAGGAACACCATTTAAGGGTGAAATAGTATGGGTAATGAATGGTGTATAAAAAGTAGGAGATGAGGTGGAAAAGTATGAAAGCGAAGATAAGAAGTAGAAAAAGTAAGAGTAATTGAGTATTTTAAAAGGAAAATCTTACCAAAAAGGGAAAGTGTAGCAAACTTTTAAATACATCCAAAAAAGGAAAATGTAGCAAAGTTTAAAATACATCAATTGCTAGGTGTGAGAGGCTTAATGTCAGATCCACAAGGACAAATGATTCTGTTTCCCGAGTGGGGTCTGCAGCTCAAATTAAATCCATGAAAAAGGTAGACCATTTTCTAAAAAGTCGTTTCAGTTGAGCCAGGTATGGTAGAGAAAAAAGGTTTTATTTTCGATCAACATCTTTTTCTGGATATGGGATATTTGGAGGGAGTATACGTTAATGAATTACATGTCACATCAAATAAAATAATAAGCTTAGTGATATACGGAGTATGAATTAGATCATTATGTACTTTTAATTTTGTTGATGTAAAATCACACATACAAATAGATGTCACCCTGATGAGCAATCGTGTTGCACAACTTATGCTTGACTTAGTCAAGAATCCTTCACTGGATGGAAAATAAGAATTGTTTTCTTATAAAATCTACATCACTATTGGATGTGTAGGCGTATTAGAAAAGACCGCTTCAGTGAAAAAGACAGACAAAAAGTGGGATTACCACCTATTGAAGATAAGACACGAAAGTCACGATTGCGGTATTTGGTCATGTGTGTAGGAGACAAGGCAATGCACCTGCTAAAAAATTGAGTGATGGAGAGGGGAGGCAGGAGGAGAGCGAAGGGTTGAACGAGACAAATGTGGAAAAGAGTGGTAAGGGATGATACGGTTTCTTCAGTTATATGTTAGTATGACTTTTGAGAGAACAAAGTGGAGAGGCGTATTCACATGGATGGTTGATCTGATTGTGTTTGTCTCTTTTTTGCTCTCTATTTATTGTTTTTAACTAATTAACTCAGATGTCATATGTTAATTCATGTGGGCTGACCCAAACGCTTTTTAGGATTAATGCTTAGATCTTGTTGTTGTTTGAAATCTACATCAACTAGAGGTTGTTTGGTAACATTGAAATTGAGGGAATCTACTGAAATTGATGAAATTCTGACTGAAATGACTGAATTTGTTGAGTGTTGATTTATGAAGAAATTATAGTGAAAATAACTGTTGTTAATAGAATAAAGAAAAATTATATGAAAAATAGATAAAATGATCCTCTATTGTAACTTCAACTAATTCAATTGGAAAAGTAACTCCAAACTTACTTATTTTGATTATTATACAATTCAATACAAAACATAGAGTTACTTGTTTGATAAAAATGTTGGCTCATAAGTACAATAACTCAAAATAGGGTTACCAAACCAGCTCCTAATTCTACAAGCTCTGAATTTGAATTCAGAAAGTAAAGTAATGTAAAGATCCAGACTTTTCCAAAGTTTATTACAATTCCTACTTTTATTAAAATCGAATCCCCATATATCGTTTTACCGAAAATATTTAGATATCTCTCTCTATAATAGCTGGACCGCCTGGGATAACCGCTCTCGCTTGACAATGATGATGTCACTATGACATCATCATGATGTCACCACGGGATGATGTGACACGTGCTCACAGTTAATCTGCAGAATTTTGGCTCTCCCCCGTACTAACCCAACACTGCCGGCGTATAGCTTGGTCATCAATTTACAGCTTAATACAACTCCTTAATTTAGAAAATTATTCATCGTCTAACTGTGAAATAACAGATAAAGAACTAAACTCAACGAAACCCTCTAAAATTTTATCTATTCATTCCTGATAAATGTTCTCGTCCACTATTTTCGACGTAAAGTCTTCTTAATTTTTTACTTTATAGGGATTATCGGACTTTTATCAAATTTGAATTTTTCTTTGGAGACTTTATAAATATTTAAGTTTTATTTATTAAACAAAATCTAATTAGGATCAATTAACTGTATGGATCAATCAAACGAAACCGCGTCAGAACATTTCTACAATTCTACTGGAGGGAGTATAAACGAACAAACAAAACAAGATGCTATAAAATAAGAAAACAGATGGTAATAATCGACTAACCTGGTGATATTAGTCGAACGGCCTGGACTAGACTGCGTCCGACCTAAGGGGAAGAGGAGACGGAGAGATCAATATAGCGTACGACCGTCCGGCTGAGAGGTGAGCGGCAGAGAGATGTAGATCGGATGAATTGGTACACTGAAGAGGTCGGTTAAATTATTCCAGATCTTAGACATGTGATTTTCTAATCGGACCGTGAACGGGGGTGGAATCAGTGTCGTCTTAATAGGTTCAGTTCCCTTTAAAATTTGATGGAACCGTATAAAAAATATAAAGGTTAAATTCGGTTCGGTTCTAGTTAAAATGTACTGTAATTGTTAAATTCGGTTCGCTTCTAGTTAAATTCGGTTCGGTTCTTACTTTTTTTTGATTCCTTATAAAAATTTATTATCCTCCTAAAATGAACACATTTTACCTTCACTTACATAAAAAAATTCAAATTTTAAATCACGAAATTATGACCATTACATTATACATGCATGGTATCTCAATGTTCAAATATAAAAAAATATGCAAGTGCAATATTAAATTTAAACATAACAAAAATCTCGATTTAAAATAGGATCAACAGACAAGAAAAAAGATTCAATAGCTCCAAAGTACACAAAATAATATTCTTCTACTAGTAATGCATTATAAGTAAAAAGTATGTAGTAATAAACCACGTAATCAACAAAATATTAATTCATTTTTGAGGTGAACTCCAATCACAAATACAATTACTAACAAACAATAAATATAACAGTGGACTAAAGTATTAAAATTATAACTACTCGGATTGGCCTGGTCCACAATATGTAAGGTATATTATGCAAAACAAATATTTTTGACAAGAATTTTATGCCCGGAATGCCGTCTGGCCACCTCCATTTGAGGTGCTTCCATGTAGAGTTTTTTGATAAATTTTTGTGATCATGTTCTAAATGGAATGTATATTATACATACCAAATTTCAGCTTAAAATTCAATCGGGAAGTGAGTTAAATAAAATATTGAAAAGCATTGTTTTTTATATATATTTTAGAGTAATGTTTTTCAATGCTTTATTTAACTGACTTCCCGGTTACATTTTAGGCTCAAATTTGGTGGACATAATCATTATTTCATGAACAACAAGTTCACAAAAATTCATCAAAAAATTCCATCCAGAAGCACCTCAAATGAAGATCACTCTTGCAATGTATAAGAAGTTCGGTTCCTGGCTAGGAACCGGAACCGAACTGGAACTGAACCGGAACCGAACCTATGAATTACTATAGGAACCGAACTGAAAAAACATGAAGTCCAAAATTATAGGAACCGAACCGGAAATTTCGATTCGGTTCAGATCAGTTTTCCCGGTTTTACGGTTCCAAGTCTCAGGCCTACTTGAAAGGGTCTCAACTCTCAAATTATAAAATACAAATTGTTCTAAATAGGAGCAAAAAGGTTTTGAAATTCTAAAATAGGAGTATCATGTTTGGGAAAAAATGTCATGTTTAAAGCCTAATAATGCCAAACTTTGTAGAAATTTACTCTTATTCAAGGCAGTGGTGGATCTAGCACTTGCACTTTGGGTGTTCAAAGTTACTTTAAAATTTAGAGTTAAGAATTGCTATTGTCTCCTTTGAGTTACAGTTCCAAATCAAAATATCATGGATTTTACATTATACTTTCAAACCTTTTTGGTTTAAATAAACTGTACTCATATTAATTAATAATACTTACATAAATGAAGTAAATTTTTCTCAACAAATCCTTGTTGAGCAAAACATCAATAAACTGAACAAAAGTTTAAACAAAATTATATTGACGATCGACATTAAGAGTTCAGACATTCAATTTGTATATAAGAGCATCTTTAATGGGCAAATGGATTGTACCCCATTAAAAATGGACATGTCACCCAAATAGAAAGCCCATGAAGCTTATATGGACATACGGACTTTTAAATTAATGTTTAGACTTCATTGGTACCGTGGATTTGAATAATCCGTTGCCTATTCATACTGCCAGATCATATAACTAAAGAACAGCCGCAGGTAATTCTTCTTCATGCTCGATCCTCTACGACCTCTTCCTCAACACCTGCTGCCACCGTTACTGACTTATGCGCCGCCCGTTTCCGCGATCCTGCAGGATTTGCTTCGCTCACTGCCAGGGCCATCCAGGTTATGATTTTCCTCCTCTCTAGTATTGTTTTATATTTTCCCAGGCCTTTTCCTAGTTTCTCAAAGTGGGTTATGTGGGGATACGTGAATTTCTTTCTAATTTCATGCTTTATAAAAGCTACGAACCTCATAAATTTTAAGGTGTGTAGAAAAGAAAATTTTTGTTTGAAAAGATTTAGCATCGTTGCTCTTTCGTGTTATATGTATATATATATATTGCACTCTAAGGATGGAGGGGCTCACCTGATCACCTGGACAGGGCCGCGTGAAGCCCACGAGGCGCCGCACTCCATGGCCGAAGCTGATTGGGGGTGGACGCATGCCCCTTCTCCCCTCCCGTGCTCGTCCCTTTTTCCCTTATTGATACAACCAACAACTTTGACTGGTCCACCCAAATTCACCTCCACGATTTTGTATCAAACATGCAACTGCTGTCTCCCTAACATATTTTTATATAAGAATAAAACATGACTTGATTTCTTTACTCTTTCAGCCGCAGGTATTTTTGTATAAGAATAAAACATGCTTTGGTTTCACTTTCACCAACATGTCGATTTCGAAACTCAAATACAAAGCCAAGTACTTGGTATTTGTGAGCTCATTCCTGGGGCAATCATTATCTAAATTTCTCCCAAAGTTGCTTGTCTAGCATGCTCCCACTGTGTTTTCTTATTAGGATCACCGGTGTAGAGATGCCATTGGTTCATTCACCAGTAATAATGAGTTGAAAGACAACCAATAAAACATGTGTGTATGCCGTGCACGTTTATACTTGATATAGAAGTGGGTGTAAATGATTTCTATTGATTATCTATATATACAAAGTGATAAGCTTACTCAAGTGATTCTTTACAAAAGTCGTGTAGTTCTTAGGATATTAAAATCTTATTAATGTCAATCACCATTATCATATAATATTAAGGAATTATACTCAAACTTATACTTTTCTTGTAAATTACAGGTGATATAATATAATAATGTCTTCTTCAGAGTCGAACGTTGATAGTGATAGCTCATTATCTGACGGTGATGCGTTGTCATTGACGAATAAACTATTTGATGAATCATCAAAAGAAGATGATAGTAGTTTAAAAATGACTCATGATTTGATTCTTTCCACTACCACTCATGCTTCTGTAATAGTTTCAGCATTGTTAAGAGGCAAGCAGTGTGCTAATGGAGGAACAACAAGTAGCAGGCGTTATATTCATCGCGATAGAAGAGAGCGTCATGAGATGATTATTAAAGACTATTTTAGTGGTGATCAATCAAAGTATACAGCGTATCATTTTCGCAGAAGATTCCGAATGGATGTGGAACTATTTACTCGCATTTTGGTTGCAATTGAAAAGAATGATAGTTACTTCTCCATAAGATTTGATGCCACGGGAAAAGAAGGATTAAGTCTTTTACAGAAAACGATAGCTGCAGTGCGGATGCTTGCTTATGGTTGTCCAGCTGATCTTCTGGATGAATATGTTCAAATTGGGGAGAGCACTGCAATTCAAAGCCTTAAGCATTTCTGTGATGTTGTGATAAGTGTTTTTGAAAAAGAGTATTTGAGAAAGCCAAACAAAAAAGATATTTTGGTCCTTCTTCAGGAAGCAGAAGAAAGATGTTTTCCTGGTATGCTAGGGACTCTTGATTGTATGCATTGGCATTGGAAGAATTGTCCAACTGCTTGGCATGGTACACACACAAATGGTTTTAAACGAGTCCCAACTCTCATATTAGAGATAGTTGCTTCAAGGAATTTGTGGATTTGGCACGCATTCTTTGGTATGGCTGGTACTAATAATGATATAACCGTGTTAGACAGATCTCCACTATTTGATGATATTATAAATGGTGTTACACCACCATGTAACTATGTAGTGCAAGGTCATCACTATGATATGGGGTATTATCTGACTGATGGAATTTATCCACAATATGCTACGTTAATGCAGTCTATCTCGCAGCCATCTTCTCTTAAAGAGAAAATATTTTCTCAACGCCAAGAATCTATAAGGAAGGATGTGGAGCGTGCTTTTGGAGTTTTGCAAAGTAGATGGCATATTGTTAAAGGTCCCGCACGTATGTGGAAGGAAAAAGACTTGGAGAAGATAATGAAAACTTGTATCATCTTGCATAATATGATCATAGAGAGTGAATGTAGTCAAGGAATGAATCCTGAAAATTGGCAACCTCTTGGAGATGAAAGGGTTGAAAATGTGGAATTAGAGCGTGATTATAATTTTATTGTCTCTAGAATGATTGGAAGAATGAAACAAGTTCAAGACAAGAGAGTTCATAGAGACTTGAAAAATGATCTCATCAATCATATATGGGAGCTATATGGTGGTCAACAAGCAAGCTAATATTAAAGTAGATATTTTAATAAAAAAAATCTTATAATAGTCATTGAAGTTTATTTTTATTTCGATGAATGATGTTCTACTCTTAATCATTATTCTCAAAATTGTGTCAATTTTTTAGAATTATTTATTTTTTGGATTGATTATTTACATAAGTTAGCTCTTATTGTAATGTCTTTTAATTTTTTTATTTCGAATTGTTGATTATTTAGATTTCTGATAAATCTTAATGCGGTTGTTGCGTTCAACCATATCATCAAGAATAGCAAAGTCCATGAACTAATAATACATTTAAAAGATATCTGATATATAGCTAGCTTTTTTTAGTGCACTAAAACAGTATATTACATACAATGTAATTGGAGGGGTAGGGACCAATGATGTTAATCATTTACAGAAGTTTACCATTTTTTTGTTATCACCTGGTTTTTTTAAAATCCTTATGCATTAGTTATGTTTTTAGTTTCTTGAGGTCTTGTCCACTAAAATAGATATAGAGAGTGAAGGTTGCTGTGGTTGAAGAAGTCTGGTGTCTGTAGCAAAATTTTGTTGAGTGTCTTGAATGATGTGGATGCAAAGGCATGCAATACTTAGCAATTGTGAACTTTCACATAAATGGAATGATAATAATCATTTACACATTATGGTAAATGCGTGTTGAATGCTTGTCATCGCTTGTGAAGTTTTATTCTTTAGATAATTAGTATTCTCATGCTGCATAAGGTGTTTTAAAGAGAGCTACACTGTTCTTTAATCAATTGAACACAATGAATATAAAGAATAAAAAGTCTGATGGCTTTCTAATACTTCACGAACCTAAACTTTATCTAAGCAATAAAAAGAATTGTTCCATGCTGGAAAACCAAAGAAAAATAAATAGAAAAAAGTAACTAGTCTTCACACTGTCTTACTCTTCCAGCAAGTTTTAATATTTGGTTTCATAAAGACGTGAATCTCAATAATCGTAGTTCAACCTGCCACACAATAAAAATAGCATGAGGTTTTTAATAATTTTTTTTTCCTAAGTATTACTAGTAAATTCAAGAAATGGTAGATAAATATTCAATTACCAAAAAGTCCATCTTTTTCCCATTCTTTAAAAATTTGAGATTGATACATCTCAAACGTCTCTCTAATGCTTGAGGGAAGCTTGGTAACGTCTTGATTTAAAATACGTTCTTGATCTAGCCGCTTTTGAGACTTCTCCTTGAACTTTTGAGCATTCTCTTTTAGTTGTTGATCTTTCTCCTTTAATTTCTGAGCATTTTTTTCCAGCTCCAACTCTTCTTTCATTACCCTTTCTCGTAACTCAAATTCCTTTAAGTCCTTTTCCCTCTTCGCCCTGAGCTCTTCTTGACTAACACAAATCTGTTTTTCCAGCAACATTTGGAACTTGTTCAAAGCATCAGCTACACATTTTTCATCATTCAACCTCCTCTTTTTTTCTTTAGTAGCTTTTCTTCCTTCAGGGCGTTCAACATCACTACATTTACCAACACTAGTAGCATCTACGTTGATGGGTTATCACCACTTGTATTGGTATCCTTTTGCTTGGAGAAATCTGTGGTCCTAGTAACTTCCTTTATGCACCATTTTGGATTTGTTTTCATGATCTCCCAACAATGTTCATATTTAAAACATTGACCATGATTAATATCTTCATACATGCGCATTGACTCTCGCCTCTACATATACACATTAACACACACTCAAACATCATAGTGTCAAAGAAGGCAGATTGTACTATTTAAAATAAAATGAGAATAAAATATAACAACACATAGTAGAAAATACCATATCTTCTTGGCTTGTTCCACTCTTTGGATGCCTTTGTAGTCGTTCATATAAAGCATGAAATTTGTTCACTGCATGTACAATCTTACTCCAACGAGATTGTAAGGCATTTGTTGTGCGAGACTCATCATAAGTTCCCATATTCTCCCTCCAAACTTGGAAGATACGATTCCACATATTAGCAATTTTTTGATTGTTACCAACATCAGCATCAACAGAAATATATAGCCATGCCCTTGTTAGTGCTACATCTTCATCTTTGCTCCAATTTTTGCTGCCTCCTCCTGTCTGAGAGATACTCGTATTTTGTACGATCTTGTCACTTTTTTCTGGTGCTCTGCTCATTGGTGCAACATGACTCTCCAATGGAATATTAGAAGAGTTTGAAAGACCTTGAAAAGGAAATCCATACCCAAAGGGTGAGTGAGCACGAGGAAATGAAGGATGCATCATAAAATTAGGATCAAAAGTCACGTTTGATGGACCGAATGGGATAGATGTGAACATTGGTGACTGTGATTTAATCTGTGAAGCGCTGCCATGCTGAGAAGTGAGGTCGGTTACTTCAGTTTCTTTCTGAATATGTTCATGGTAAGCAGATGGCTGTGATGTTGACTCCATCTATATAGAAATCAATATTTCAATAAGCATTTGAAGTTTGATTCTAATTCAGAGCTAGTATGTATTCTTGTAGTCTTAATACACTCACAACAACAACAACATCCCAACCTTAATCTCAAAGATTTAAATGCACTCACTCATACAAAAATAGAGAAATGTTTTTTACATTAAATATTTAAATTTACAAAGAGACTGTTGAAAGATATATGCCAACAACTCCATATCAAAGGTTAAGAAAGTAGCACCTCTATCTAAGTGATAAATCAAAGGCCATGGTCTAGTTTCGGTATTCTGCAATGTTTAATGGAATGACTAGTAGTAGATGTTATGAATGACATGATGACACATCTGGCCTGAAATTTTGGGAGCAAAACAACATTTAATAGGGTTCTAGGATTACTCAAAATGAAATTTACAATTTGCACATCACCTTGATATGATATATGTTCATTAATTAGCTTTGTGCTTTAAACATCTTTAAATAGATCAGGATGTTGTTTTAGTAGAGACGGTAGCAAAACATAGAATAGGAGACTGGAATGACCCAATAATAGTATACTTGTGCATTATTTGGCCGAAAACTAAAATGGAAATGGTCGGTGTGGATAAATCAATAGTTGAGGATGGGAGAAACTCACTCCCAAGCTCATATATTGCGGTCAAACCATGCTCCAACTTCCAACAGGATACTTCAATTGAGTGATTGACCAGGGAGGCCTTAAAACTACAATGAGAACCTTTTCTGAGATCAACTAAAAGAAACAAGAGTTGCAGATTCTACACAATCCTCTTTAAGTAGCAAGATGCTAGAAGACTGGAGTGAAGTGCTTCAAAAAGGTTAGGAAAGTTATACTGAATCCTAGGAAGTAATTTCATTTGTTCACAACACTGTCATTTTATTTTATAAACGATTAGATGTCAATAGTTGTTGTTAGTCTATAGAGCTTTGAATTGATCAAGATCAGCGGGAAAAAGTTAATCTTAAGATTCAAGGGTTGCTTGATTTACGTAAGAAGGGAAATCTGTTTTGGATTCTTTGCATTTCTTTGAGAGAAAAAAACCTCATCTTTTGAAAGATCAACCTATTTCTCTGAAAGAAGCTCTTATTATTGTCACACACCATAAAAGATCAGTTATGGTATTTATTGTGCTTGAACCGGAAAACGTGTGATTAACTTAGAGCTCTACACAGATAATTGTATATATCAACCTAAGTAGAAAAACAAGATTACTTAGTTACTAACCTATATATATTTCAATAAGATTAATAACTTAGTTATTTCAATACACAACTAAATGGGGATTTTCATTTAGAAGATCACAGATGACTATAAGAAATCTCAAGATATGATCAATCAATAAAGTAGCGCAAAAGAGCAGAGCCGATTTCATTCCCTGTGGATTTCTATTGAAACCTGGTATGAACTCAAAAAGGATTGAATCAAAGTGGCAGTTTAAAAAATTACCAGGAAGACTTCCGAAGAGCACCGGCGAAGAGCCGCAGAGTCGCAGCCAAGAGCACCAGCGAAGACCCCGCAGAGCCGCAGGGAAGAGTAAAAACGACGAAGAAGTGAGAAATCTTGGAAAACTGCTTTGACGAGCCCCTTTGTAGGCTTCAATTTTGAGATTTGGCGGAAAGTTTTTCATTTGCCGCCAACGAGATGTACGGGAGACGAATTTTTTTTGCTGAGTCAGAGCATGGGAAAGGCTCGCCAAAATAGAAAGGGTTGTAGAGGATGTGGGTTTTTTCCAGTTCCAACTCAGCAGCCCATGATATATACATCTTTCCTTTGGAGCTAGTATTTTAACCGCATAGTCTATTTAGTTGATGTGGCCATTCATTTTTTAGCAATTCATTTTACCACTACGGATGCTCTAATCCTTTCAATCCACTAAACCTGACATCATATATTCCAATACTTTCAAGGCAATTAGTGACTAGTGGGAAATTGGAATCAGAAAATGAATTTATAAATTTCACACGGAGTACTAGATTTACAAAAACTAGGTGTTAATATGTGAATGAAAAGGCTAACCACTAACTAGGAGTGGAGGCGTCAGGCATGATCGCGAGAAGATGATGTCACGGTGGAACCATTTACCTTCAACCCGTGGATTAAGGAGACTAGACTATTGGTGGACTGGTGCTGACGAAAACCATTGCAACTCGCGAGATGGAGCAAATCCCGAGGTTGGGAATTTGGAACTCGTGACAGTGGAGATGGAACTCACAACAAACGACAGAGCTTCGTCTGGCAACGACGACCAGGATGCTGCAGCAAAGCAACGACCTGTCAATGGGTCGGGTCCAGACCCAAACCCGACCCGGATCCGTCTTTTTTAAATGGGTATGGGTCTACATTTAATTCTGTTACCTAGACCCAGATCCAGACCCGTTATTTAATGGATCGGGTATGGTATATGTAGTTCCGACCCGTTTAGGACCCGACCCGTTAATATTTATTTATATATGTAGTATGTACATTAGTCTAATATACATATTACATTAGCTGTCGTCCACACTACGACTTAGTTTAATAAATCTGAAGAAGGATCCCTAGAGACCTTAGAGTCCACAGACCGCAGAGGATTCAGGAAAAAACTTTTTAAGTTTCCAAAATCATTAATTTTACTCTTTATTCTAACATTAAGTATCTTGCAAATTATAAAACAACTCACAATTGTTGCGTTTGCTTGAGTAATTACAGTTCATGTGTCATATTGTTGCCAGAAAAGTACTCAGTAGTAAGAGGCCCTATTTTTTATTTAAGAAATTAGAATTGGATTTTCATGAGACGGGTCGGGTCTACCTGACCCGGTTCTAAGACCCAATGGGTATGGGTCCGGAACATTAGTTCTAGACCCGCCGGATATATGGGTCAGGTCTGGAACCCTATAGAGGCTAACGGGTCCGGGTCTAGGATACTACGTTCCGGCCCGTATCCGACCCGTTGACAGGTCTAGTCGTGGCCACTAGAGTTCGAAGGAGCCAGCACCTTGCCGGCGTCTAGGACAGCTCAACATTTCTTAGAAAAATCTAAAATGACATAATTATGGTAAAGAAAATTGAATTTTTTGGGTGTTCGTGTGAATAGTCTTGAACAACACTGGATCCGCCCATGATTCAAGGAATAAAAAACGTGATAGTCCTATTTTGGAATTTCAAAACTTTTTTACTCCTATTTAGGGAATTCTCTCATTATAAAAACTAGAGACCGAAATATAGTTCATTAAATTTGATCCAAATTGGATTTTTGGTAGTCCGGACGGATTGAGTTGATTAAAGCCCGAACATGAAGTCATTTCATTATCCTTTTATATTTTAAAACTCATTTTCAAATAACATTAATCAAAAATACAAATCACAAAGAACAACGTAAATATTAGTCTCGAAAATTACCAGCTATTCAAATTCAAAGAAGATAATTATCTTAATATTTTGTTTAAGATGCATGTAAATAATATAGATTTTCTAAAAATATTATGGAATAAAAGTTATGGATCAAAATGTGACTAAATTTACTATAAATATATTTTCATGGTCATTACGGTAAACAAATTGAACATATTTGTATTACTAAAGGTTACTAGGTTGTGTTTTTCATCCACTATGATTGTAATCAAATATTAGGAATTCTTCATAAATTATATTTGTATATTATATTGATTTTATATTAAAACTAATTGTTTTGGATTTTTATCGGTCCGATCTGGGTTATAGAATTTAGGGCCCGTTTATGAGCCCAAAGTTTTGGGTTCAGTCTGAATTTTTTTTATTCAGGTCGGTTAAATAGAAAAAACCCGGACCGGGAACATCATTCGGGTCGGATTAGGTTGCATTTCCGGATTTGGGTTTGGTTGTTTTTCCCACCCCCATTTGTTTAGAATAATAGACTAATGGGTTAATTTACAATGTTTGACTGCCGATAAAGCAAACCGATCTCTGTCAATAATTATATTATTTTTAGTGAATAAAATTTACATATTTAGAATTCTATTAAAAAAATTACAAAGTCTCAAAAAGAAAATTTAAAATTGATAAATCAAATAAAATAGTAAGAGTGGGCAGCTCAAGGCACGTCGACGACGCCTCGTGGAGGGTGGATTAAGACATCAGATGGCCGGAAGAGACCTGCTTTAGGGGAAATAAAATCAACATGGATGGCGCCATTGATGATCATAGGAGTAGAAGAACATGGGACTGGGTAGCGATCGAGAGATCATGATGGTAACTATATGGGAGGAGGATGTGACTCTTGCAGAGCAGATTGACCTGTAAGAATAACAGAGGCCATAGGGATGAGAGAGGCTTTAGCCAGGGCAAAAAAGAATATAATGATGAGTGGGACCGAGTAATCCTTGAGACGGATGCGCAAGTTGTCACCGTGATGAAACGGCTAGCAACACAAGAAGGGGGTGAATTAAGTGTGTGTGAAACCGTAGCAGTTTTTCGCACAGTTCTAGTGTGGGGTTCAGGGAAATGCGAAATAGTAAAGTGCACAAGGATTTAACGAGGAAAAATTCCTTGGCTCAAAGGTATTAAAAAACCTCGACCTCCCTCGGAGGAATTTTAAACGACTTCACTAAAAAGCCTTTTGTGGTTACAAGGTAAATTCTCCTAATCTACCCTTGAGCCACCCCAACTCTATCCTCTCTAGGAAGAGTTATGCATCTCTACCTTGCGGGTAGAGAGCCTCTCAACTTTACAACAAAGCTCTCACACACACGACCCCAACCCGAGGAGGCTACACTTTAGCTTTTCCTCAAAATCTAGTTACAAGATAAAGAAGGGAGTAGGAACTATATCTAGAACTTCGTGAGCAGGTCCAGGTGCCTTGGTCTTGATAATTCTTTATAAGTATTTCTCTTGGTAATTGCTCGGTCAAGCACACATCTTCTTCTCTTGGTCTTCGACTATATATAGCCCAGAGGATATCCGTTGATTCTCCTTTCCTTGGAAGCTTGGTTGACTTTCCTTGATATTTTTGAATTACTTTCCTTCCAGTAGTTTCTCTCTTATTCGCTCAATCAAGAATAAATTGATCCATGATTTACGAGTCACCATATAAAGAAATATAGATTTTCTTTATTATATAAACATGCAAAGGATATTAAGTAGCAATAAGATATTCATGCACAATTTTAAATCAAGCTACGAAAATATCCTTACCAAAAAATATCTTCGGCTAATCTTTATGGAATAGATAGGTTGATTTCTTTGCATATATGAAATGGTTATTACCATAATAGTGACAAAGGTTTGTTTACGTGAAACATATATAGATTGAATCAATAAAGCGAATGCTTAGTCATGCATAAGAGATGTGTCACGTGTATGAGGCATTGTCAGTAGGCATATATCAAATTACTTCATTTATCAAGTATGACCATAATTTAATCCCTACCAGAACGAAGTTCGTCCCTGATAGATCCAATCGTAGTTCTATCCAAAGGTCCACCTGCATGGTTTAGTGAATTGACAAGGCATTGTCTTTTGTTTTGGACCTAAGGATAGTGTTCTTTTCTGTTTATGGTTAGTCATCAACAAAACTTCATAATCAACAAATTCCCCCTTTTTGTTGATGACAAACATTAGGTTCCAAAAGAGTTCCTGCAGATTAGTATTAGAGCAAAGCATAGCAATATCAGTTTGAGTGTATCAGCGAAAAGAGAAGAGAAGGCACCTGATTATTTCTCCCTTTTGGCATCAACCAAAAGGAAACAGAAAATAACCAAAACAATGCCAAAGGGTAATAGAATAGCATTCAATTGTGATATCCGCTCCCGAAATCATAGTATTTGTAGAAAAATGTTTATGATGGCAAATTATTCTTCATCCGAAGAGGAAATGATTAATCTGTGGAGTCCTTCAGTGTCTTGATCGAATTTGGCCAACACTTCACCTTGAAAGGATTTTAGTTCGATGCGAAGTTCCTCAAGGCTATTAGAGAGTGATGTTACAGATTCGGCCAAAGAATCAAATCTGAGTAGCATAGTGAGCTCCATGAGGTGTAGTTGCTCTTTGACAAGAGTGACAAAATGCATTAGGTCAGGAGAGGCAGCAAGAACTGACTTAGGTTTAGAAGTTTTGGATGAAGGAACTGGTGTAATGGTTTCCTTGAAGATGAGTTTAGAGTTGTGGACGGTTATGTCGTAGCTCAGAAGACCCTTAGTGTCAAGATTTTTGTGAATGGTGTGGTAAGGTAGATTGTCGAGAGAGATCCCAATTTTGATAAACAAGTGTATCAAGATAGTGCCGAAAGGGATCCCAACCTTTCTAGCGCGATCACTGATGGTAAATTTGAGATGAGCAAACATAAGGCCAGGAAGGTTAATAGGGGTTTTTGTGGCTAGGAGATACATATATGCAACTTCTAGCCTAGATGAAATCAATCTTCCTTCCAGTCGAAGGATGAGATTGGAATGGACAAAGTAAAACAACAACTTGTGGATAGGAAACAGATTACTCACAAGAAGGGAAATGATGGTAGCATTTGGGTCAAAATATTTTATGACATTAATCTGGGTCACAGTTGACAGAGGCCACTCCTCCTTCTTGTAAGGGCATTCACCAGAATAGGGAACATCTAACACCTTCGCTAGTTCTTGGACAGTTAAGTGTAGCTTGGTACCACGAACACGAGATACAAGTGCATTGTCTTTGATTATAAGATTAGCAAGAAAATCGGATAGACAGTCAGGGTAGATGGGACAACAATACTTTGCTTCGAAAAGAGACCCCCATTTTTGAAAGGCAATGAGCTCTACAAAATCAGTAGTTTGAGAGGAGAGTTCGGTGAAGGGAATAGTGATTACCTTTACAATACCTCTTTCCTTGTATGCAGTTTTGAGTCTGAGAGCATCTTCTTCCGCCACTTTCCCTAGTTTAGGAATTTTTTTGGTTGTTTGCTCCCCTGAGATGATACCTTCTGCAATGGCTCTCTTCCGGGTGTATTTTTGAGGCAGAATCTTCCCTTCGCGAGTGAGGGTTTTTTCTTTAAAATGCTTCACCGGAGAGGGAGTGGCCGAGGATGGTGGGTTTCCTTCTTGTTCCCCCTTGGAAGATGCGGGGGAAGGTGGTGGTGAATTGGAAGACTCGAAGTGTTGATCTTGCATGCTCGCGGGAGGAGAAGTTTCAAGATCAATCGGAGTGACTGATGAAGGTGGGGGAGGTTGTGGGTTCCGTTTTCGTCCTGAGCGTCGAAGTGCAGGAGGAGCACAACCTCTGGTTTTAACCATGGCGGTTAGGGAAGAGAAGGAAGGAGGATTTTATGGAAGGTGGATGAGTTTTGGAAATGGGCGGCTAATTGGTAAGTGGAAGCCGAAATCCTCCTACCTTCCCAAGAGATCTTTAATGATTTCTTTCCAGGAAGGATTTCAAAATAATTTTCTAATTTAGGAAGTGAGCAGTTGGTTTTAAAGCTTTTGAAGCACTTTGTTATTTTTGGAAGTTTAAGGATTTATTAGATTCATAGATCAACTCGAAAAGGATTCCCCCTTAGATAGTAATTTAATATTTATGAGAAACAGAATTGATGGAGTATATGGCCCAGGGACCCCCGGCCCATAGACTCCTACGATCCTAATAAAAGCCCAAGAGGCCTAGGAAGCACAGCAGGCCCAAATCGCAGCGCCCAGGGTACCAAGCAACCCACGGAGCACACAGGGGTGCCTTTGGCCCCCTGGCCGAAGGCTCCAAATTCTCACAGAAAGGCTATTTTAAGCATACAAAGCTACTGGGAGAAAACGGCGAAAATCAGTAGCCCTCGGCACCTGGAGCCCTCGACCTTAAGGGGCCTTCGACAAGAAGAGCCCTCGGCTAATCATCTACAGTCGAGGGTACCTTCCTCGACAAGAATATCCTCTCCACATGTGCCTGGATCGTCGTACCAAGTACAACGTCACATCCAACCGCCGCATTAAATGCGGCCACATGCGAATGCCAGTGCCACCCGATTGATGTGACCCCTCAGCCGTTGGATGCTTGACACGTGTCCCCGTCTCGCATTTATTACTACTATAAATAGCACCTCGTTTCCCCTTTGTAAACCATATTCTGAATACGCTGAATTCACACTGAATACATATTCTCTCTCTTACTTGTTTGCTCTGACTTCTCTCTAGTTACTCCCCGCAGTAACCCCTCGGATATATACCCCCGGGTACACTTATCCATCATTTGGTGCTCTCATTGAGAGATCGAACAATCAAGTAAGAAACCCTCCACCTCTCCAAACACAAAACACCCACCAAAATGGTGAGAACAACATGTGACAACTCCAAGAATGTTGAGGACATGAACCTGGCCCTCAGCGACGTCAACGCCCCTGACGCCTCTAACAGGGCTCTCGAGGGCGCTGCCTTCGCTAGGTTGGAACAGGCGGCTGTCGACCTACGCCTTCAGATCCAGCAGAAATCCCCTGATGCCCGCCTCGGCATCGAAGCCAAAAAGAAGGACCGAAGCGAAAACCAAGTTAGCCCTCCGGTCCTCACTATCGACGTGCAGTCGGCATTATCCGCCTTCATACAAACACTCACTCAGAATCCGGGTGCCTTCGGCACTCTGGTTCCGCTTCAACCTCAGGTCGAGGAGAACGTCATGCGTCCCCCTCCTCCACATCCCTTCGGAAACCCCATCCTTCGGATTGGGAACGACGAAGGGGTCGTGGCTCAAGATACTGCCTCTCAGGAGGTCCAGTCCCGGGACCGCCACAACGTAAACAAAGAGAGGCCCCGGACCTCCGCCCTCGAGAGACTCGGAGGGGCGCATGACCGCCGAGGGGTCCAAGACCGCCTCAGGGGGAAGGCGCTCCAAAGATCTCAGGAAAGTGGCGGATCCGTCTCCCGGGCAGACGAAAGACGTCCCCTTCAGGACAAAGGCAAGGCCCCCTCCATGCCGACGATGCCCGTCACCACATCAACCAGGCCCACTCGGCCCGTGTCCGTTCGCAGGGGGCGGAGGCCATCCCGAAGGACCCCAGGGACGAAATCATCGCGGCCCTCCAGCGCCGGATTGACGAGATGGAGGCCACCAAAGCACACGCCACCGTTTCTGCCCCTCAGGCAGATCTCAAATATGAGGCCATGCTGGCCAAGATGGAGGAATTGCAGAGGAAGATGGTCGAGGGCTTCGGGGAACCCACCATACAACTTCGGACCCGGATGTCATTTACCCCAAGGGTATTGGCGGCCCGGATCCCGGAAAAATACTGAGGGCAACTCATTAAGCCCTACGACGGGAAGACTGACCCCCAGGAGCACTACATCAGGTACCAGAACAGTATGATGATGGTGGGGGCATCGGATGAATATTTGTGCCGTTGGTTCCTCTCCACCTTAGAGGGGCCGACATATGAATGGTTCAACTGATTGCCCGAGGGCTGCGTTGACTCGTGGCAAGAACTCGCCCAGCGTATCTTGACCCAGTTCGCAGGGAGACGTCGGACAAGAAAGCACTTCTCCCACCTACTAACAGTGAGGCAGAAGAAGGATGAGACCCTTCGGGATTTCTTGGAACGTTGGAGGACGGAGGCAGATAAAGTCGACGGCGCCGATGACGGAACCCTCTTGGCCCTCTTACAGACCGTCCTCCACACCGAGAACTTTTCAAGGAGCCTCATCATCGAACCCCCCCCCCCCCCCCGCGATTACATAAGGGCCCTACAGCGAGGGGATCGTTACGCCGAGGCCGAGGAGGTGGAAAAATATCACCACAACCCCGACCAGCAACGCCCTCGGCAAGATGACAAAAACAACCGGGGGCCGGGGGCTCCCGCAAATCAATCTAAAGGCCCGGCACCCCCCGGTGATCGCCCCCGGCCTAGCCAAGCCAAACCCGGGGGAGGTTACAAGGGGAACCCGAAGACTTGGGCACAACATGTTCTCCTGGAACGCCCTCGGACACCCTTGATGCATCCCGTCAGCGTCATCCTCTACTTCGCCGAGGAGAGGGGCCTCGTTGAGCGCGACTCTCGCACACCCCCAGAGGTATACGCCATCAACCCTCAGTACCCCTACTGTTGTTTCCATCGACACCAGGGGCACAAAACTGATGACTGCCATCACCTGAAGACGGCCATCGAGAGATTAATACAGGTGGGCCATCTGTCCCAGTTTGTCCAAAGCCCTCAGCAATAGGGTCCCCCTACCAAGGGCCACCCCGAGGGCACCCAGCAAAAGCGAAAGCCTGGGTTAACCCGAACACCATCCCCCTCGGCAAGAAGAGGGAGATCGGGAACCTGGAAGAGGAGGAAGAAGAATACCCCCACTATCAAGAGAAAAAGCGCCACATCCTCATGATCACCAGAGGCAACACCGGGGGGATTCCATGAGCCAGAGGAAGAAGTGGGCTCAATTGCTTTACGTGGGTGAAGTCACCTGTATGCCCCCCCCCCCCCCCCCCCGTAATGCGGCTGAGGGAAGAACCCATCACATTCACCAACGCCGATCTCCCCCGACTTCCACTCCCCACAGGGATGCTTTGGTGATCCAAAGTGAAATAAACGACACCATCATTCACTGAAATTACGTTGACACGGGCAGCTCCGTCAATGTAATGTACCTCAGCACCTTCAGAGAGCTGCATCTGGAGAGGGGGTCCCTTCGGCCAATCAAGACCCCTCTTGTCGGCTTCACCGGCGACACCATTGATTCCGAAGGGGTCATAACCCTCCCGGTACTATTCGGCGACGGGCTCCATAGAGCCAAGCTCGAAGTGGAGTTCGTCGTCGTCAACATCGATTGCGCCCACAACATCATCCTCAGCCGACCAGCCTTTGAGGATCTCGAAGCCATCATCTTCATGAGGCACCTCTGCCTCAAGTTCCCAGCCGAGGGAGGCATCGGCTACTCGAGGGGAAATCAAAAACTCGCCCGCGCCTGTTACCTTCAAGTAACGAAGAAGGTAAGCAAGACGGAATTCCTTGTTGACACCATCACCAGAATCGTGGAAGAGGAAGAAAAGAGGCCGAGGGCTGAACCAACTGAGGATGTAGAAGACTTTGCGCTCGATCCGGCCAAGCCAGAGAGAGTCGTGAAGATCGGAGCCCAGCTCCCCGAAGATTTAAAGACCGGCATCACCGAGGCCCTTTGCGCCTACTCCATTGTTTTTGCATGGGGCCGGAGGATATGCCGGGAATCAGCTGAAGCGTCATCACCCAC